AGCCTTGTTTTAATACGTTTAATTGCACTGCCTCCTCTCTCGGGCCAGGCATTGGTGAGAGGTATGCTCTGTGCCAATTCTGCTAGCGAGACAAGGTTTGGAAACATGAAGCTGTAGGACTTTGAACTTGTCAGCTTTGAAAGAAGCCATTCAGTTGGCGTGGTTTTGAGCATTGTGCTGACAGTTGAATACTCCTGCTTTATCTCTAGAGCCATGAACTTGAAGTGATCCCATTCTGATTTTAACCTTTCAGTATCCAATGTAGAGCTGAAGTGGTCTGCCAGTTTGGCCAGCTTTTCCTCACCATATCTTTTGAACTCTGGTGAATTCCTTTCGGGATGGCCTCTGGATTAAAGATCGAGAAAGCTGCTATGAGTGGGATGTTAGGGAAACGACGAATGTTCTTCTTTAGGTTCTCTACATAGGAAACGCAGAGACGACTCAGGAACTGCGTAGTTGCATCATTAGGTGATAGCTGAATCATTCCAAATTTGCCATTCTCCTCCATATCCTGGCTTAACTGGGCAAGGATTTCATCTTTCTCACTCACAACTTTTCCAACTTTGCTATACAGGCAGAAATTGCTGAAGGAATTGCATCAAAACTAAGTTCCCCAAATTGAAAAGCTTTGCTGAGGATCGCCAGGGGAGGCAAAACAGCATCCATGATGTAGATTGCACCAATAACCTTGTGATTCCGAGTCTGGGTTAACAAACCACATGCTGTTGCATCTGATTCTTTAAAGAAATCAAACACAGTAATATGCGCCACAAACTCTTGCTTCATAGATTCCACTGAAGCCTTGTGTGAAAGCCATCTAGTTGCTGCTGCTTTCTTGGCTTTCTTTACTCTCTTCTTGGCCTGCACCATTTGCTCAGTAGGAAGGAGCTTAAGAAGTTCCATTTGTACCATCACTAACTTGGCCGTTTTCTTAGGAGAGTAGTCGTAAAATTTCCACACTTGATTCAGCAATCTTTCCACAGTCAGCAAGTACGTCAGTTCTTTGCACGTGTCGAGACACGCCAATGCCAACCGGTGACACACACAGTGAATGCTAACAAGGTCAGGGACTTTCTTTTGGATGTGTGCGACCATTCCATTATGTGCCCCAAGCATTGCATTGGCCCCATCAGAAACACCAGACTTCATCTTCGAAATGTGAAGAGAACATTTTTCCAGGATACCTTCAAGGGATTCTGCAAGTGCTTTACCTGTAGCTTCAGACAGATGTCCTGTGTGCAAAAACTCAGTCCTGCTTTTCCCCTCATGGACGTACTTAACAAAAGTGACAAACTGTTGAAGAACAGAAACGTCTGTCACTTCATCAACAAGACAGCCAAAAAATTTGGACTTATTCACTCTTTCAGTTACTCTGTCCTTCACAACTTGCCCTAGAATGAGAAACATTTCTTGCAGTGTACCTTCCCCAGTATATGTAAAATGTTTGAGGTTTTGTAAACCTGCCCGTTCCATCAAGTTTAAAAGGGACAAAAGTTTTGTGTTAGAAATCTCTTCTTTTGCCAACCAGTAGATGGACATAAAGACTTTGTTCAATACTTCATTTTCACATTGCTTCCTTGATTCATGCTCTTCCTGGAAAGGGGAAATTTGCTTGAGATGCTCCTTTTCAATTGCAGAACGGTGCATGTCACTATTGAAGTGCAGCTGAATGGCTTGAGTTATCATTCTAACACATGGTTTGGTGTTCCACGTGTAGTCCTTGTTTCTTTTCGTACATGTATCATGGAGTCTGCACAGCAAACAAAACATCCCAACATTTTCTTGGAAGGCCAGCCACCAAACTCCAGTAGAAGGCTCATAGACATCATGGTTTTCAGATCTTTGGAACAACCATCCATGCTGAAATTTGTGAATTTGACTTCCCGAGGCCGTAGAAGCTTTGTTAAACTTAAACGCACCACCTGAAGGATCTGAAAGAGAATGGCAGTCCTTCTCTTTGCATGTATAATACGTGTGTATTTGCCCCTTCTGCTTATCCAACCTGGACAGTGATGATAGGATTTCTTCTTGAGGGATT